CTTGTAGGCAGCCTGCAGATCAGTTCCCCCCGCCGGTTACCTCTCTCCCCGCCGGCCACCTATTCCAGAGATGGAGATCCTCTCTTCAGGATAGAGAGCGGAGAGCAGAGTGGGGCACGTGCGTTCTCCACTCTGCTCCATGGGAACACTGAGGAACGCTGTACACACAGCCTTCCCATCTCAGCTGTCACAGGAGAGACAGCAAAGTACTGTGCTCAAAGTCCTGTATTGGAAGTGACAGGTTCAGTAAAGAGAAACTGTCACCTCCAAATGCTATCACACAGGGGCTTGTTAGCCCCTGTGTGATAGAAATAACATTAAAGTGAAAAAAAAATGTAATAAAAAAATTATAAGAAATAAATAATATTACCATAAAAAATAAAAAAGTGGTGAAAAATAATAAGTTACAAAATGATAAAAATAAAAAAATTATAAAAAAATAAAAGATAATAAGATAAAGAAAATTAATACCAACCCTGCCTTGGGGCAGCAGCAGAGAGAAAAAATCCGGCCCTGCTTGTAGACCCCCCTCCCATCCTGATGCGTCACAGCCTTCTCTTCCTCTAAAAGTATCTAATTACTATCTGTGCTGGCCCAGCTCCTCTGTCCCTCCCTTTAACTCCTCACATAATCTTCCATGTAACAGTTGGGGGGAGTGGAGGGGAATACTATAAAGTGTTACTTCAGTCTGCTGACAATGCCCAGCTGCAATCTCAGTGCTTTTGGGCGTCCAAACAAGGGAGGCTTTTCAAGATAAATAGAATGCATAAAATGTTAAATGCACATTTAATCTTATTGGAAGATTTTTGTTGACACGAATGGCCTCCTAAATTTGACTTGGTGTCAGCCTCATGCAGTCCCTGCACACCAGAGTTCATAGAAGGGGAGTGACAAGCAGCACAATAAGCCAGTCAGGTGTGTTACTGTGTAGTGAGCATGCTGATAGGAGGAGAAAGAAGTGTGATAGAGAGATTAGCTCATCAGTGTGCTGTTTCTACTTTCACTGTCCAGTCACAAGGTAGAGGGGTGACCTGTAATTAAAAGCAAAATGGCAACAGAGAAAGATCAGGTCCCCTCTTCTGCTCGGAACAGCTGTACCGGATCCATGAGGATTGGATGGACATAAGTACAAATCCTTCTTGCAGTTACACTTACAAGTAAAGGTTCCTGCATGTCTAAACAAGTACCAAATCCAGTTACTATGTGACGCACAAGCCTCCTATAAACAGAAAACTTCCTTTAGCCTTCCTGACTGAGCCAAGGCCTCCTTCATTGTGCATCACATGCTCCCCCATTCCTGACACTGCAGCTCACAGTGAGAGAATCTCAGTAACAGCGGCAGTGCTGTCAATCCAGAAACCAATAGGCAGGTGCTGATTGACAAGCTGTAGCCTTGTGAATGAGCAGTGACAATACTGATAGCCCTGCAACATCTTCTCATCCCACTGTAGTGCAAGCAGGCACAGCCTACATAAGAGAGGCAACTCTGCTCTAAATTCAGGAGCAGTGCAGCATCGATGCCCTCCCATCACAGGTAAACTGCACCTGTGATAGTTGTTTGCCTGGAGTTCAGCTTTAACGTTAGGCCCCTTTCAGATGGGCACCTTCAGTTCTGATCTGCAGGCGTTCCATGCACGGATCCCCTGCTGATCAGAACAGATGTCACTGCTGTGACATCCATATCTGTCCAATTTTTTCCATACATCTTGCAATGGAGGAAAAAACTGAAATGACCAGACCCCATGCCAGTCTATGAAGAGTTGAATGTAATAGACATGTGTTTGTTTACATTAGATTACCTCCAATCTGGCTCGGTCAGGTCAGTCGAAACGGAACTCAGATCTCTGTTTTTCTGGACTTGATCAGATTTGAAGGTAACTGAATGTAAATGGACGCACATCCGTTCAGACCCGGCTGCCCATAGACTAACGTGGGGCTTCTGATCATGTCCACCTTAAAAACTCACAGGCGAACCTGATCGGAATGCTTGTGTGAAAGGGGCCTCAGACTTTATCAGACAACATATGTGGTCACAGGAGATAAAGGAATTCGTAAGAGTCCTGGCGTAATTAAAAGAAATTTTTTAAAGACTTTTTAGCACAGCATAATAGCAAAGGCTGCTGAAGTGAGCTATAATAGGAGCAAGCAGAAAATGAACAGGCTGCATGTGATCTGACCTAACTCATACAACATCACTGACCCACTTCTCTTCATGGAATGCAATGCGTGCACCCCAATGATCACCATATCCCGTTTAAGCCTAACAGGACCTGAGCTCAGCAATTAACAGGCAAAACAGTAAAAAGTATCTTTAGTGATGTTATCCCTTTGTAATCTGATATATAATTTGCTCCATAACCCATTTATTTAAACAAAAGAAAGAGAATTACATCAATAATAATAAACAAGCAAAAACAGATAATCACAGAATTTGCTTACTTCAATGTCTTTAATAAGCAGTTGTGTGGGTGTCTCCAGTGGGTCTTTGCTGTCGATTACTTTCTGGATGGCACACACCCAATGCACTGCCTCATTGAGATGCTCTGTATACAGCCGGTAGCAGTGCTTCCTCCCGTATACTGTTACATTCCAGTAGCCTGTGGACAAACAGTGTGTTTTAGTGTGATGGACCAACAGCAAAGTTTTTTTCTTTTTGCTTTGTTTACATTTAGTCTGTCTGCAGTTTGCACAGATCAATGCTACAATATATACACTATATTGCCCAAAGTATTGGGGCACCCCTCCAAATCATTGGACGCAGGTGTTCTGTGAATTTTTTTGCTACTAAATATTCCACGGTCACCTGTTAGTGGTATTATCACAAAGTGGAAGGGACTGGGAACAAATACATGACTGCACAACAGTGCACAAAGCAAGGTCCATAAAGACATGAATGAGTGAGTTTGGGGTGGAGAAAATTGACCGGCCTGCAGAGTCCTGACCTCAATTCAATAGAACACCTTTGAGATGAATTACAACGGAGAGTGCGAGCCAGGCCTTCTCGTCCAACATCAGTACCTGACCTCACAAATGGTCAAACATTCCCATAGACACACTCCTAAACCTTGTGGACGCCTTCCCAGAAGAGTTGAAGCTGTTATAGCTGTAAATGGTCGGCCAACTCAATATTGAACCCTACAGAGTAAGACTGGGATGCCATTAAAGTTCATGTGCGTGTTAAGACAGGCGTCCCAATACTTTTGCCAATATATTATATATAGAGACAGAGAGACATGTATTTTAGACTTTTACAAATGTCAGGCAGGAATCACTTAGTATGTAGACTGGACGGACCTAGCTAAATGTTAACAGGGTTGCCATCTTTTACAAGCTTGTGCTCTGTTTCCCCATTGATACACACATGCCCTAATGAAATCATCATTTGTAGCTCCGGGCACTGAGGATATTAAATCAAACATGTAGAACAGACACCTTCTTTGTTCTTCACAGTCCTGTTCTGCAGACATGTGTCGCTTTGAATTGTAGTGTTCAGCCAATGCAGACTGCACACAGGTTAAATGTTAACAAAGTAATATTCACTCTAACTTGGCTCTTTCATGACAGATTTTAAAGCAAGGACAAATGAAAGGCAACAAAGTTATATGTTTTTGGTGTCAATAAATGTATCTAAAGGGCTACTATGTTTTATAATACAGTTAAAAAGACCTTGTCTCCAAAAAGAAGATGCTGCAGGTATAAAGTGCAGACACCTACAGGGCCTACAGCCTCCATAATCCATCACTTGCAGCTGAATCTTGGGTCATTTGGATGAAGCTTTCCACTTCTTCCTACCTCCTGCACATTCCTATTGGCCAGTGAGGTAGCCCAACATAGTGAAGGGCCAATAGGAATGTGTGGGGGCAGGGTTTAGTGGAAAGCCCTGATACTACCCATAAGTTTTGGAGCTTTGCCTGTAAGATAAACCAACCCAATATATTACTTATTCATTTTTACAAACAGCTAACTTTCTAAGTATTGCCCCAACAACTCTAGATGACTTGCACAGATGTGTGCTGAGCTGGCTATTCCTCACCTGTCTCCTTGTACGTCTGCTTGGATGGCCACATGACCGAGCACAGGCTGGTGAGGACCAGGCTTCCCACCCGTTTGTTAGGTTTCTCATTGCTACTGTAACAATCCAAGGAATCTGGAGTCAAGACAAACCAGTATTTCTTCAGTCTGGACCAAGGGCGTCTTGCTTCTCCGCTCGCCTCGCGTTGCAACCAGCCTGAGGTACAAAATAGAAAATGAAAAGATAAGTTAGGGTTGGTTACAACATGTTTATTTATGTCATCTCTCATTATTCATTCACTCAAAATAGGGACACCTAGAAAAGACATGCAACCTGAATATCAGCCAATTTCTTCACTCTGTGAGGTTGGTTAAAACGATTTCATTTTGCCAAGTCGTCTATCCTTTAATCATGTAACCATTTGCAGTGGACACAAATAGATTAAATCTAAACTCTAACATTAAAGTTAAAGGAGAACTATGGGGTAAGTGTTTTTCCCCATAGTTCTCCTAAGGGTCATGGGAGGACATAAACTAGCGTCCTCCCGAGACCCAAAGCTCAGTATATCGCGAGCTACAGCTTGCGGTATACTGAGACCGCCGCAGCCAGGACTGATCCCGACATTACTGTGAGATGAGATCCACCCAGCTGTGTGACTGACAGCTGGCTCTGCCTACCTAGAGGCAGAGCCAGCTGTACCTGCCCCCGTCTGTTCCGCCAGTCAGCGCTGGAGGATCGGAGCGGGGAGAGGGGGAATCCCTGCAGGGAGACGTGAGTGACAGTCACGGCTCTCTGCAGGGACATGATCGAGAAGTGAGCGAGCGACGGTATGTGTTCGCTCACTTCCCGATCTTATGAGCTGACGTGTGAAAATCACTCACCTCATAGTTCTCCTTTCACAATCAAAATTGGCAGCTTTCATTAGAAGAATAAGTGGTGATCCTGCGATGGAGGTCTTTTTCAGGCACTTTCTGTTATTCGGTGACAACTGTCTCCCAAATGCGTTCCTGCGCTGTCACCCTGCCACATCCTTCCCTGGTGGAGACTACAAATGGCCATGCTGACACACATTGCACAGGCATGTTGCACTGTCGTCACTATCAGGAAGACTGGTCAGAGCAATAATGTGCAGCCAACGCTAAAGTGAGTACATGTAGAGAGGAAGTGAAAGAAACTGCAGGAGATCAGCAGTCTGGGATGCATGGTTGGTGGTGTCTACCTGATTATCATGTTCTCACAAATGAGTGAGGTTACTTTTTATGAATATAACTCATAATCAGAAGCTGATTAATCGATTATTGAAAAAGTTGACAACTTTTTCAATAATCGATTATAATCGATTATGTCGATTAGTTGTTGCAGCCCTAATTACATTACAACATCAAATTACAAACTATTGAATATGACTAGACTTAGGACTTGACCTGTATGAAAGTGCAGTTTCAGATTGTATAAAGCCAGACATATACAGTGTGTATTGCTTCTAAACTGTTTTACGACAGGGCTGCATTCAAAGTTCCTGGCCTAATGGAGTTTTACGACAGCTATTTACAGGCTCCGGTTCAAGGAACATCCTGCTTATGTGGGTAACTGCTGCATACCTGTTAGCGGGCCTGTGTCCTGTCAAAGGTGCTTTATTTCAAATCTTTTCATGGGATTTATGATGGCACTGCTTTAAATCTTCAGCTAAAAGTGTTTCAGGGGTGTTCAAATCTGCTCTGTGGCTTTTTTAAAGCCGTTGCCTCCACCATAGACATAAGATTTAAATCTGACTATTTCCATTGCTGTCTTCCCAATTTTGGAGAAATGAGGGTGGCACATTGTTCATCATGACTTCCCCACTTCCCCCACTCAGTTTGGGGTTTGTCACACCTCGTTATTATCACACTCCCAAAATCACAAAATAGAAAATCTGCAGATAATCTATAGTTGTATGGCCAGAACACAGACAGCAATACAATCCTGACAAAGGCCCTAACCCTTCACCACATTAACAGGAAAAGCTTTTCTTGCTATAAAGATGTCAGTACAAGACTGACAGAACATCCATCTTTGTCACACTGTATTGTCAAGTCAGGTTTTGCCTGGATTTGGGCTTTAATGAAGGTTTCCATGTAATGATTATACACACTCTTGTATAGTACAGAAAAAGAATGTTATCCTCTGTCTATGTCAAGTACCCTGTACATTTAGATTGCAGTTTAGGGAGTTCAAGTGGAACATACCTTTAACAATGGCATCCTGATCGTCCTTGCACATAACCTTGTTGCTTGGAGTTATCAAACTGTGTTTTTCTTCAGAGACATGTAACTGCCTGAAAAAGCCAAGAAAGGAAGACCACATTTGTTACAGGGAATATGATATCATGTAACGGTCTTTTAGACCACCTACACTACTGCTCTCCTCTCTCACACCATAAATCTTTAGACCTTATTGAGGCATGGGAAGTAGTTACCAGCCAGAATAAAATTACTTTAAACCAACAGCTCCAAATATTATTTATAGCAACCTCCTGTTTTACTGAGGGCCCATTAACACTGCTGCATTACACGCACATCAGCAACATGCAGCACCATTCATGCAATGCGGGGGGCGGGGGGGGGGTTGCTGTTGCAGCACTAATAGGGTAATGTTTTTCTGCTGCCTGGAATCGAGCTTACTCCTAATAAATACAGTGCCGTGTACACAAACATGTGCATAATGCAGTTGCTGTGCTTTGCACTCCGAATTGAGCTGCTTCATCAAATAACCTTGTAACTCTTAATTGATATGGAATGCAGCCATAATGTATGTGTTAGGGCGACCCTTATGATTTTGGTAGCGCAACGTAACGCAACACATGTTTAACGCACATAAACACAACGCAATGGACATCAATGTGCAAGGCTCAACCAACCCCATATATACCGTATCTTGTTATTGGCATGTAAATGTACCATGCTAATGCAAGTGAATGCACATGCGTTGAGTCACGTCCAAAGCACACATTTCAGTGTGAATGGACCCTAAGTGGACATGCGTCCATATACATCCAATTGTCTCTGATCCATCACGATCAGGTACGCCAAAATGGAATTGTTCTGTTTTTTTCAGACCGAGACGAACGCAGGAGTAATCAGATGTAAATGGACACAAGTCTGTTCACATCCGACTGCCCATAGACTACAATGGCCTTCTAATCAAGTCCACCTGTCATTTTTTCACTGGAGCACCGTATTATAGGGGCCTTGGTTGTTTCAACTTCATCTTGCAGTACTGGTGTCTTGAGTTTAATCCCCACCATGGGAAAATAGCTGCATCAATTTGGAATGCCCTCATTGGGTTTCCTTATTTATCTTTAATAAAATGTGCAGGTACCATACTGCAAGAGAGCAGTTACCTGTCCACAATGAAGCTCTGCTTCTTTCTTTTTGCTGCGGCGCGTTGGCCTCTTCTTTTCGGGCAGGCACCAATATTCATATATATTTTCATGCTTGTATTTGTGTGTAATGAAAGGACCATTATATCAATAAGGTATGAATCTTTTATTTTGCATGATATTTGTACTACTGATGATTCTCATCTAGATAGATCTCTAGATTGATTTCTTTATCAAATCTATATATTTTCTGCCAGCTATAGAACTGATCAGGAAGCTTTACAGCCTCCCAGATCCCTTTTACTACACAGGGCAGAGCACTAAAATGTAAAAACAAGCTCATGGCTGCCATTTCTATTCCATAGAATTTAACAGGCGTTCAACCTTGTTAAACAGAAACTTTGCTGCCAGGCTTGGTCTACATGCACAGTAAACGTTTAGGTAAAAAATAAAATAGGGCAGGAGAAAGAAAGCCATTCATTGAATTAGTACTATCATTACACAGAATCAGAATAAAGCAGGGTTCCTTTAGTGATTGTTCACGTCTCTGATTCTTCTGTGATACAAACTTACATCTGCTACACTGCTGGAACTGAAAGGTGATAATGTAATATATATTTGCTGCTCTATCTTCTACTCCATGCAGTGAGCTCACATGCCCGGTGTGAGTGGACCACTTAATCCCTTTGAAGCAGGGATGTCGGGATCCGCTCCGGCGTCTCAGTATACCGCGAGCTGTAGCTCGTGGTATACTGAGCCTTGGGTGACGGGAGGACGCTAGTTTGTGTCCTCCCGTTACCCTAAGGAGAACTATGGGGAAAAGCCCTGACCCCATAGTTCTCCTTTAAATTACATCTAAAGGCTCCTGTATGACAGTCTAAATCAAGGGTGGGAAAACTCTGGCCCTGGACCTGTGGTGGAACTACAAATACCATAATGCATCTGTCTCTGGGAGTCATGCTGTTATAGTTTTGCTATGCCTCATGGGTCTTGTAGTTCCACAACAGCTGAAAGGGATGAACTTTGCCTACCTCTAAACAGTCCACAAATCCATTGGATACAAACAGTCTAAACAGGACCCAAATCCAGTTACTATATGATGCACAAACCTCATAACCAAACAAAAAACTTCCTTTACATTCCCTGACTGAGCCAAATCCATCTTCATATATGTTTCACACGCTCCCCCTCCCAGACACTGCAGTTTACAGTGGGAGGTTTCAGTAACAGAGACAGTGCTGTTAATCTAGGAAGCGGTGAGCAGGACTAGGTGTGGCCAGGTGCTGATTGACAGGCTATAGGCTTGTAAATTAGCAGTGACAATGCTGATAGCTGTGTCCCCCCCTACAAGCAGACACAACCTACATGATAGTGGCTACTCTGCTCTGAATTCAGGAGCAGTGCAGCTTAATTGCCCTCCCATCACAGAGAGCAGCATTAGGTGCACATCATCAGCAGGCTCAGATCTGAGTATCAGATGCACATTAGTATAAGGCACTCAGGTAGATTCCTATTTTGACATGCCCATTAAAGTAATATCACAAATACACACCAGGGCGTATACATTGTTTGTGTAGGAGTGAGTAGAAATGAGGTGGGAGCGTGCAGGTCACATAGGCTACACAGGCAGAAGAAAATGTTGATTCTGGCACCCTAGCTGAGGTTCAGTTTAACAATTTATACCAAGTCATCTGGCTTAAACAAAAAAGTCTTCTCTTCCCAATTACACAGTCGGTGTCATTTAAAAAAAAAAAACTCAGTCTGTGAACAAGCAATGCGCCTTCTGGCTTCTTTAACCCCCTTAATACCAGAACAATTTTGTAATTTGTGCACACACGTACTACAATCAGAGTTTTTGGGCAGAAAATTACTTTTTTTTTAAATTATTAACTTTATTGCTATCACACAGAGGCTAATAAGCCCCTATGTGATACATAACATGTAAGGTTGAATAAAGACCAGTTCATAGTGTTTGGAGGTGACAGGTTCTCTTTATAGAGACATCAGGGGTCTACTAGACCACTCATGCAGGTTTCTACAAGTGATCCACCCCGATCATCTGTAAAGAACGAGCTCCGCCTGCTGCAGCAGGAGACATGATCTTGGTAGAACCACTTCAGGATGACGTAGGGATATACATATGGCGGTCCTGAAGTGGTTAAAGACTAAGTTTACCTTTCTGACCATGTTTCATGTTACATGCATATTTAAGGTGTAACATGAAACACGGTCACATGGCAACCCCCCGCCCCCAAATTGCAAGGTTCTTCTCCCCACCCACACAGCTGCGTCATCCATTCACAGATCCAGTCAAAGGGTCTGTGAATGGATGACGCAGCTCTGTGGGCGGGGAGAAGAAAATAAACTACAATTTCACATCAGCCACCACGGCAGTTCTCAATGGAATACCAGTACAGTGATGTCACTGCACTTGTAGTCCATTCATTCTTCCTTCCGTCCATGTTACTGAATGTACCTCAGTACGGACACGGACGAGAGAAAGAAGCTTCCGAAGCCAGAGCACAGCACCCATTATCCCCCGATCACGGTTGCAATGCTTTACTGGCTCCAATGGAAAAAAATATTAAATGCTCATTTTTTTTCTTTTATGAAGTTTGCATTTATTATTCTTTTTCCCCAAAAGGTGGACTTTACCTTTAAATACCAATTGTGTGTGTTTTCAGTGAGGATTCTTTTTAAACTAATATTTTAATATTTACCTAAAATTATTTTTTGAAACAGGACTGAACCACTTGCAGGATGGGCTGATTTTTGTCTCTTTACACACCTGGGGGCAGTAGGATTAGCCTCAGGAACCTGTGAACTGCACCCATGATCCACTGATCGCGGTTGCGATGCTTTGCAGACTCGAAGGCAAAAAATTAATTAATGCTAATTGTTTTTTTTTAACAATATGGATGCATTTATTTATTGCCAAAAGTGGAATATGCCTTTAAAACGAGGAATACAATGATGTAAAGTGGTATTTTGCTGTGAAGTTCCGCTTCAAGCTGATTACATTTATATGCATATAATTAACTAAAGATTTCCTGAGAGAATAAAGAGATCATAAAAGTTTTTGGCTCTGGCAAAAAAAACAGAATTAGTGGGAAAGAGAACCAGACAAGTTGTAGCCATGATCTAACAGCACATTACAGAACTGTGCCTCTGGCAGTCCCCATAGCCTGCTATAGTCTCTGCCATGGGAAATCTTTGCCTAGCGGCTCCAGGAATGATGCAAGCCTGGCAGGAAGAAATGCTGGGACGCGCCAGTGCGCTGGGGTTTATTTTAACCACCTGAAGGAAGGGAGGGAAACCACAAGAGCTGTGGGCCTGTGCCAATGCCTGCACTCAGACAGTCAGATGAAGGGCACAGGAGATGGGGCGGTAATGCAGACCTTAGTGTGATGAGGAGGAGGCGATAGGGGGAGACTGAATCACTGGGAAGGATAGAATGATCCGTGTATTAATGGTGCTGACTCAGAAGAGTGTGCAGAGGAGAGGCATAGGTAAAAATAGAGGCGTGAATGAGATATGTGTAGAATGACAGATTAGAGGGTATGAATATCACAGAAAAGGACAAAGGGTGTGAACTGGAGAAACAGAGCATGTACAATGATAGGGAGGAAGATGACTGACATGGGCTCATTTAAGTGTACATTAGTATTAGGCCTCACACAGACGCAAAGACCTGTATAGCATGCTGGAGGTTTATGGAAGTGACAGGTATCCATGTGCAACCTGTAACAATCATTGGCACACTGCGAGGCATTGCACACATCCTAGCATGGACATGCATGCAAGCATGGCTACACAGCCCTGGACAGGGACTGTCTAGGTCCAGGGGCGTACATCCGTACCTGTGCTGATGTACAGTACATGCTCGGATCTGCATCTACCTGCATACAGACAATCAAGATCCAAATATTTAAGAGGCACAGGGATCTCATGAAAGC